CAAATTAAGGGAAAGCATTTAGAATTATCAGCTCAAGAGCTCTCAGGCAATGGCATACCTACCTTTGGTGACACCCGGTGCAGTTTCCATGGTGGGGAGCACCCCCGTGGCACCAAGCAGCACCCACACAGGGCTGAGGAGACCTGCTCCGGCCCTGAAGAGCTGCCCCGAGGGCCAGAGAAGTGCCAGCAGGGGGCAGGGAGTTGACCTGGTGTCACTCCCCTTCTTGGGTGTCACTCCCTTCTTGGGTGTCACTTCCTTCTGGGATGTCACCCGGTGTGGTCCACACACCGCACACCTCCCCAGTGTCACTACTGCTCTCAGTCCTCACTGAACTACAAACCCCAGAAAAAATATTAAGTGCAACAGGAGGCACTTAAACCCCAGAATGCAAAAAGAGGCAGTCCCGACAATGGCCTCTTGTTCTGAATATACCTGAAACATGTGAATTATTTAATGAGGCCATATTCCTACAACTATAAAAATAACTAAAAAGTTAGTTATACCACAAAAGGAATGATTTTAGCCTTAACTAAAGTTAGTTTAGCCTTGATGCTTGCAATTTTTTTAAAATAATTGACTACTAGAATTTAACATCCAAGCATTGGGAGTGGATGCTTACTGTGTAAGAGTAAGAAATACTCCTTGGTGGCCATCATCCTAACCATAACATTCTCTACATTTCTATACACATGGCCATGGTACTTCCTTGTAGTTATCTAGTGAGTAGAAGCTTCCTGGCAAGTATTTTATGTCACATCCAACACAAATAATTCCCTTCAGGGATTGGTTGAGTACTCTCATCTCAGGATAGACACTGGAGGGAAGCAGATAAGAACTTTGCATAAACAGGAATTATCAGATACTACCATCAATATACTTACCTACTCAGCATTACCACACTGTGTCAGCATGCTAGCTGTCTTGACCTATTTAATTTTTGTAAGTCTCCTCACATGGCCTTATCTGCTTTGCAGATGGGAAATCCTGAGTACTAAACTACAGTACTTCCTCAAAAGCACATAGGAAGCATGACAGATCAAACATCTATGCTTCCCCAAACCTTTGACTGCCTATCATAGTGGGCCATCATTTTCTGTGGTAAGTCATTCAACAATTGAAAAAGATCACAATGTGCATGATGGACTCATTCATTCCCAGAAGGCAGACTCACTGGTTCTTTAAAGCTGCTTTTTCAGAAGATGTCTTAGGGTGAGCTAACAAAAATATTTTCAAAATATGAAACTCACAACATTTTATTTAGAATTTATTTGGAATGTTGCTGCATTGCACTGAACAGAAAAGCAAGGACCTAAGCTCCTCCGCACTCCATAGATGCAGTGGTCTTGCTACAACAAGACCAGAATAAATAGCAAGTTGCAATCCATTGACTGTAATATAATAACAAAACCCATTCAAAGATCTGTTTAGTCCCACATTCAGCAGTTGCTTATTATACTGCAGAGCAATATACCGGTAATGTGGTGAGCATACAAGGGAATACTCCATTATCCATTCTCACTAAGAACCTCTTACAGATATGAATGCTGGGGGGAGGGTGGGCAGTACATTTCATAATTTAACATCTACTAGTATTTTGTATTTTGCATAATTTTGCCTAGATGGTTTTGAATATATGGTATTTTTATTCCAGCTACCAAGATATTCCATACAACAGTTGTGATCTTTGAAAAATGCAACATAGGCCTAAATCGAAACTGATACTTGTAGTAGTTTCAGGACTTTTGGCAATCCCCGTGCAGCATTCTGTGACACCCAAAAATCTACTCCATGTTTCAGGGCCTTCTGCAGTAGGTTTTTAGGCTAAACAAAAGATTGCAGAAGAGAAGAAGTCTGGAGAAAAAGCACACAGTCTACTATTGGCCATTATCCTAGACATTAATTTCTTCTAGTGACTTCTTAAGATATGTAGAAGAATAAATAGCACCCTTTTTCCTAATGTTATTTAAATCACAAAGCAGTATCGCCCAGCTCACTGCTTAGCCAACATTTTTCCAAGCTAAAGAACTCAGGATCCATGATAACTGGCATGCAAGCATGCTCTTGATTTATACCTATGCATATTGTATGCATTTTTCTTATTCTCTGTCTGTAGTAGGTCCTAATATTCTGTTGGGCATTTGGGCCTGCACTCTAAAAATATGTGACATTATTCAATGATATCAGGATTTCTTCCCAGAGCTAGTTTAAGAGTTTAGCTGCAGTTATTGCTTTGCAATTATCCACACTGAGTTTGGCTATTATTTTATAGTCCACCTAGTTATGCTTTATTGCCATCTCCAAGAGTGCAAATTGTCTTCACATCATTGTGCTTGTGCAATGAGACTTGTGAGTACTACTGCACTGAAAGCCAATGTGGTGTAGTGGTTTGCATGTTGGACTAGAACACTGGGAGACTTGGGTTCAAATTCCCACTCAACCATGGACACCCACTGGGTAACTTTGAGCACACTGTCTCAGCCTCAAGGGAAGACAAAGACAAACCACACTGAAAACTCTTACCAAGAAAAACCTATGATAAGAGTTGCCATAAGTCAAAAATGACTTGAAGATACTCAATAACAATGAACTGCATTAGCAATAGGTATCACTGTCAACCATGGTATGATAAAGCATCACTTCTTGGATGAGAACTAACTTGTTTGAGAGTAAGTGAGGAAAAGGACAGGGGTAGACCAGAACTCTCCACTTGTTTATATTGTAAAAGTCAATTCAAATCACACCAGAGCCCAACTTCATCAACAAAAACCTGCACAGCTGTTGTAATGTAAAACAGAATTTGGAAAAAAATTACTTTGTGGACTACGTTAATCAGAATTCTTCAGGTCTAGGGGAGCTGTAGTGGCTATGCTGGCTGAGAAATTCTTGTAGTCCAAAATAATAACTTTTACAAGCTCTGTGTGCCAAGCAAAGATACTGCTATAATTCTACTGGGGAAAATTATTCTGAACACTATTATACATTTATTTTTTAGGATTTGGGAGTACTCAAGCCTCTCCATCTTACATGGCCTCCAGAACTGATTCTTCCAGTCAAATAATTACTTATGTAGAAATGCTATTTATGTACTAAATACAAAGCAGTTGAACACCACATATACTGTCCTCCCTCTTCCCATCCCCATATTTCCTGGGCTTGGGCTCTTCATGCTAGCACTTCCTTTGGAACATGACTTGCTGCCCTACAATGGAATAAACTCTTTCCACAATTTCTAGGATGCTCCTTGACAAGAAACCTTAGCCCATCCATTCATCCAAGGCAAAAGGTCTTGTTAGATGTTTTTGAGGCTGATGAAGTATGGTTTCTTTT